GTAAAATAGTCTTTTGAACATTTATAAATTATTTTTTTAGTGTTGTTAATTTAAAATTATATATTAAATAAAAAAATATAAATTATAAATTTAATTTAATTAAAAATAATAAATTAAAAATTATGGCCTTATAAATTAAAAAAATTTAGTGTTGTTAAATAATAATTATAAATTATAGATTATAAATTTAAAATTATATATTAAATAAAAAATACAAATTATAAATTATAAGAATAAAATAGTCTTTTGAACATTTACCTTTATCCAGTCCATCCGACCAAATATTTGATTCACTAAAAATAGTCTTTTCCAAACATCTAATCCATAAGAAAACAAACACGGGATATACATTCAATCCAACCGAATAATCCAGAAAATTCACAATTTCAAGATTAAGTTTGATAGATTCTAATCTCCTTATCCAATCCGTCCAATCAAACACACCCAAAGTGTACTCTGTCAATGACTTTATTTATTGATTGGAGCAGGTCAAGCAGAGTGTGGCAATGTAGTTGAGAATTCATGCAATTAAAGCCTCGTTTGGAAACATGTTATTTTAATAATTTTTTGATTTATTACGAAAAGATGTGTAGAAAAATAAAAAGAGTAATGTGACAATTATAGTGACTTTTTGGCTAAAACTAAAGGATGCCAAACGAGGCCTAAGTGTACTCTATCGATGACTTTATTTAGACTTCGGCTAATTTAGTTGGATTAAAAGAGTACAAAAGATAAAATATGTTCAATAAATTAATAAGACAAAACATCACATTTAAATCATAACCATTTGATTTTTTCTCTTACAAAAGTCAAAAAAACCAAACCAAATAAACTTTTTAGTCCCAAGCTAAAAAAGTCTCAACTCAAAAAAGCCAACCAATACCAAACGGCGACTTATTGATTAGAGTAGGTCAGGCAGAGCATATTGGGAACAAAAATAAAAGGTTATTTTTTTGGCTTTTAACCTATTTTAGATTATATTATCTTTCTATTTTTTATATGTTTTTTCAAAAAAATCACCCTTTAGTCCTCGTTTGGTTTTCTCATTAGCGCTAAATAATCACAAAAGGATAAAATTGATTATAAAAGCCAATAAGACAAAATATTACTTTTTACCCATAAACATTACACTTTTTCTCTCACAAAAGTTTAAAAGGTCCCAAAATAAAAACCAAACGAGGCTAAAAAAATCCAAACACAAAAAAGTTAACTATACTAACAAATGCCAAACAACTAACCAACTTCTTAAAGAAAAATGGGTGGGTGCTCGAAATTCGTGGGTCGAATTTGGGTCGAATTCGAAGAGGGAGAGAAGAGAGGGAGAGAAGAGAGGAGAAGGGGAAGAGAGGGAGACGGCGGGTGCTGGTTCTGCCGACATTTTAGTCGCAGAAAGTGGACTATTTGCGACCAAAAAAAATAGGTGGTCGCCAAAAGTGTTTTTTCTTGTAGTGTTTGAAAGTGATTTTTGTAATTTTTAAATTCAACTTTTTTTTTATTTTTTTATATATATCTTTTTTTAAAAAATAAATAATAAATAAATAAATAAATCTACTTCCGAAACAATGTTTGTTTTGTCTTGTTTTTGAATCTTTTGTTTATTCGTTTCTTATTGGCTTGAGTTAGCATAAGATTATGTGTATCTTTTGATTCCAATATAGGCGCTGTTTGGGAAGGAGATTTTTTGGTATTTTTTTTTTACTAAAAGACAAAAATTAAAAAAAAAAATAAATCCAAACAAAATATCACATCAAACCCCATAATCATTTTACTTTTTCTCTCATAAACATCACATCCAACCACAAAAAAAACTCAATTATCTTTCCAAACACAAAAAAAAATTTCTCTAATAATATCCTACAACTAAAAAAATCTACAAAAAAACTCACTTCCCAAACATCCACATAATTAGGATTATGAAAATATACTATGATATATTTTTGTTCATACCTTTCTTTTATTTTCATATATAATATATATTTTTTTATCAATAAAATTTTCTCTTTTGCCAATAAAAAAATATTCATCAAATCAAAATCCTATAAATCAAATAATGCGTCCCATAAATCAAAATCATAGCTCCATCACTAAACCACCATCGCAAATTGGACGTCAATCACCGTGGCCGCTCTCCATCTCCATCGTTGATTATTATTTTTTTTTTTTAGAGGGGGGTTTGATTGTTGATTGGTAAATATGTCACTCATAAAATTAATTGGTATACAAAAAGAATAATTCAAACTAGATTTATTTTGAAAAGTTGATTAAAAGACTTTTTGACTTTTTTTAAAAAACGTGTAAAAAAATAAAGAGCTAACGTAACAAAAAATAAGTTAAAAACTAATTAGCTTTTGGCCAAGTTCAGAACATAGGTAGATAAAGAGATATTTATAAATAAATGCCCCTACTTTTTATTGTTAACATTATTAATTTATTGACACTTTTTTTCCTAATATAATATATTGGATTATAAAATTTGATCAATTTCCACTTAAAAAAATTATATCTCCAAAAAAAATTGCGATTAGTATAGTCAAATAATATTCTATAAATAATTTATATCTAGTAATGATCCATTACTTTCAAATAATTCACCAATTCATTTTTTTTTAATTCTATAAATCTTTATTTTTAAACTATTAATACTATAATATATTGTTTGGTTTACTGAAATAAAATTGAATTGTATCAAATAGTTATTCCTTAGTATTTTTATATAATGACGAATGATAATTTCGTTTATAATATTTTTTAACAATCAAACATGAAGATGAATATTATGATAAAATGATTGTTCCATTGAATCTCATTTCAATAAATCATATATAATTTAAGACTGAAATAATTAATCAAATACAAATTAAGATCAAAATTATTTGGGAAGATGACTGAGGTGGCTGAGGGAGTACTACTGGTCAATGATGTTATTTAATTAGAGCGCGGGGGAGTAGAGTTTGAGATGGTAGTGTAAAATCGTAAACTATTGGATTGTGGATTGGATGGTATTATTTGGGTATGTGAAATTAATCATGAGTTATATTTTAATTATTCAAATAATTTATTTCTTAGGTTATTTTGTGTAGATTATCCACCCACAAAAAATCAATTCAATCTAATATAACAGAGAGGGGGAGTAGAGTATGAGATAATAGAGTAGAATTGTAAAGTAATGGATTTTGAACTAGACGGTATTATTTAGGTCTGTAGAGTTCATTATGAATTTTGTTTCGATCATTCGAATATTTATTTTTTAGGTCATTTTGTGTATATTGTCCACACAAAAAATAATTCAATCTGATATAACTACATAATTTTATTAAATTTGTCTATGAAAAAATAAATAATAAAAATGATTCAATGAATAGCCCTATAAACTGCACAAAGCAATACCTTAAAATATTGTATTATTCTGAAGAATCAATAACATAATTTCTTGTGCTAATAAAAAAAAAATTATAATGTATTATGATGTTAATACTATATTTGACCATTGCCTCTCTTTTATCATAGTAATATATGTTATTTAAATAAATTATTTTTACGAATTTAATTTACAGGCGTGAATAATTTCTAAGGGCATTTACACATGAGTCCTAATTTATCAATTTATATTCCATTAGGCCCTAAATAAGATTTTTTGGACCTTCAAATTCTATTAAATTTTTAATAGTTGGAATTACCCTTCAAACAATGATTGTTCATCATTTATAATTATCTATAAAGGAACATAATAATTTAACATTTATTTTGATTTTCAAAATTTTAAAATATCAATTTTCAAATTGGAAAAAAAATACGTGCAAAAAAAAAAACTAATATGTTTTTAAATTTTTTTAATTGAAAAAAATGAAATATTTTTTTTGTGCAAAACTGAAAATTTTGTATCTATAAAGAAGTATAATGATGAAACATTGATGTGCAAAACTAAAATAAAAAAACTTTAAAAAAACAAAAAAACTAATAATATTCTCTGTTTTAAAACTAGAAAAAATTAATAATGTTCTTGATTTTATTTGATAGTTGAATCAAACCAATAAATAGAATGACAAAAACGTTTAATCTCATGTTTTGTTTTGTTTTTTTTTTCTATCAGTTAGTGAAACAATTATTTGGAACATTATTATGTAAAATTGATAATATTCTTAGTTTTAAAAATTGAAAAAAAAAAACTGATAATATTCTTAATTTTACTAAATAGAACTTATTGGTTTAAAAAAAATTAAATTGGATCAAAGCTATCATAACATTTGTAAGTAGAATTTTTAGATAATTAACTCTAATTTCTATCAGTTGATTCCATTTTGATAATTCCAAACATTACTATTATACATGATTTAAATAACAATACAATTATATATCCACACAACATGAAAAAACATTTATTTCAAATCCCTAAAATACTGAGGTCTTGTTCGGGAACCGGCTATTTTAATAACTTTTTGACTTTTTTAGCTAAAATATAAAATAAAAAAAATTAGTATATTTGAGATGACTTTTTGACTTTTTACAAAAAAAATGTGCAAAAAATATATTAAAAAGAAAATCTTTAACTTTTTGATATAGATTGTTGATTTTTTTATTTTTTATTTTTTTTTTGTGATTTTTTAACTCCCGGACTAAAATTACCAATTGCCAAATAAGGCCTGAATATATATATATATATATTTTTTGATTGATACCATACGTAAATTCTTTATTACAAATCACATCAATTAAAAAAAACTAATTTATATACCTACGTTTGAGAGTTCGAGTTGGAAGAAATCAAAGATTTGTCATGCTTAGCCTCTTCAAAAAGACGCCTAATCAACTCATCCATATCTTTGGATGACTTTCCACATTGTTTAATGGCCTCCAATGCTGTCTCACTCAACTCCAAGGATCGAATCATTTTGACCCCGTTCTCGCTCACCGCTCCAGCCAACAATCGAGCCAACTCATCCGAGTTTGGAACAGCTTGAGCACCCTCAATCACATCAATTAAAAAAAACTAATTTATATACCTACGTTTGAGAGTTCGAGTTGGAAGAAATCAAAGATTTGTCATGCTTAGCCTCTTCAAAAAGACGCCTAATCAACTCATCCATATCTTTGGATGACTTTCCACATTGTTTAATGGCCTCCAATGCTATCTCACTCAACTCCAAGGATCGAATCATTTTGACCCCGTTCTCGCTCACCGCTCCAGCCAACAATCGAGCCAACTCATCCGAGTTTAGAACAGCTTGAGCACCCTCAACAACCCTAGTTGCCACCCCAAGCTCATACACCAACAATTTTGTATTTACAAATTGGTCAGCCCCCATGGGCCAAGTTAGCATTGGGACCCCTGCAAATATTCCTTCCAGAGTCGAGTTCCACCCGCAATGAGTCAAGAATACACCCATCAATGAGTCAAGCTAGCATTGGGACCCCAACAAATAACCGACAAGGCCATAGCACCGAAAGGAGAGAACAAAAGGCGGCGGATGCTGAGCTGGCAAGCGAGGCGGTGGGTCCACCCCAAGAACATGTCGGAGACTATGGCCACAGACAGCGAAGGGTGGTTCTGGAACCAATTTAGGAGAGGATTGTGGAGTTCATCCATGGCGCGCATCATAGCAATAAAGCCATTTATGGGCATGTCTTTGGCGTTCCCTACGCCGGGGGGAGGGAAGGGTGCGCAGGGAAAGGCATGGCAATATGAGAGTTTTGATGGTGGGGTGTTCGGAGAGAAGTGGGGTGAGGAGAGACAGAAGTGGGGTGAGGAGAGAGAGAGAGAGAGAGAGAGAGAGGCGTTGGTTTTGTTTAGGGTTTAAAGAGAAGAGGGAGAGCATGAGATATTAATTATATAGATTGTTATTGGCTATTAAAATTTTTTAATCGTTGAAAGTATTTTATAAATCTCTCTAAAATATTTGAAATGTCTCTTTCTAAAAATTTTAATTCTTTGGCGACAAAAATTTTTTTTGTCACTGAAAATAAATTTTTGGTGACTAAAATTTTAGTCGCCAAAGATAAAAAATAATTTTTTATTTTCTATTCAGCGACTAAATGATTTTAGTAGTTAAAACGTAATATACAGTGATTGAAATTCTTTTTTTAGCTGAGGTAAAAAATAATTTTTTATTTTTCATTCGGCGACTAAATGGTTTTAGTAGCCAAAACTCAAAATACGGTGATTAAAATTTTTTTTGTCGCTGAAAATAAACTTATGGCTACTAAAATTTTGGTTGCCAAAGGTAAAAAATAATTTTTTATTTTCTATTCAGCGACTAAATTGTTTTAGTAGCCAAAACTCGGTGTACGGCTACTAAAATTATTTTTTGTAACCAATTTTGGCATTTTTAGCGACTAAATTTTTTTTGGTCGCCAATAACCACTACAAGAAATGAACTTTTCAGGGACAAATTTATTCCGTCACTAAAAGTATAATATTTGTCGGGAAAAACTTTAGCCAATCACTACAAGAAATTAGTCTTTTAGAGACTAATATTTAAGGACTAATTAAATTTGGTCACTAAAAATAATTTTTTAAGGACAAATTTAAACATATAATAATTTACTTATAAGATTATAAAAATGATTAATAATATTCTCACTTAATATTTACATATTTTTTTAGACTAATAAATTTAGTTACTAATATATTATTAACAATTAGGGACCAAATATTTTCGCCATTATCAATTAAAAACAATTTGAGACGAATTATTTTCATCATTTTAACAATTGAAAAGTCGGGACCTCAATTTCACTTCAGCCCTAACTTGCTCATTCTCTCTCTCTCTCTCTCTCTCTCTCTCTCTCTCTCTCTCTCTCTGTAATCGATCTTCATACCTGTAAGAGCTCCAAGGCAGATTGAGCTCCACATTTGAAGATTAATAGTTGTTTTTCAATTAACAATTGAAGATTGAGCTCAATCTTCAATTGTCAATCTTCAATCTCTCGCACCTCGGTTTGCTCAATCTTCAGCCCTAAAGTCAGGAGCTCCAACGCAAATTGGGAGCTCAATTTTTTTCAAATTTTGGTGCGTCTCTAGCCCTAAAGTCGGGAGCTCCAAGGTAGATTGGGAGCTCAATCTTCTTCAAATTTTGGTGCCTCTCTCTCTCCGTAATCGACCTGTAAGAGCTCCAATTCGAACTTTCAATTTCTTATCGTAATCGATCTGTGTTTTACATAGATTGAATTGTTTATTGTATTTTCAATTTCTTATTGTGTTTCAATCTATGACTTACTTTATTTCTTATCGTGTTTCAATCTCTATTTATCGTAATCGATCTCCGATAATCGACCTGTTTATTGTGTTTTCAATTTCTTATTGTGTTTCAATTTGTGTTTTACAGAGACTGAACTTGTTTGTTATCTTAATGCTTGTTGGAATTGAACAATTGTTTACATAGATTGAACTTGTGTGTGTGTGTATATATGTATGTCTAATCTAATGCGTGTTGGAGATGAAGAATTGGGGATACGTAAGAGAAAAATGACACAAGAATATCATCTATTCTCTTATTATTTTTGCCATTTTTGTTATAAATCAATAATGAAATCTACGCCTCAAACAGAATTACATTATAGTAGATTATTGTGCCAAACAAACAGATCATTTAAGAAATCAGAACCTTACCATCCCAAACAGGGGTCTGAAAATCCTTCAAAACCTTACCATCCCATTGATCCCCTTCCTTTGCCACAGTCCACACAATGACTCTCCCATCTTGTGAAAGCCTAATCCACCGCCATCCCAAACTAGAAAGCCTGCAAGAAGGAGATAATCCATATATTCATAACTACCCTAATCCACCGCCACCGTTCTATACTACTTTTTACCAGCCAGTAATCTAGAAAATCTTCCTGAAGAAATCTATTATGTCTAAGAGTTGAAAGCTTAGCCATTGAGGGGATTGGCAACCAAAGTGTGCTGGTCTTCAAGTTTTCTTGTCCCCAATTGCTTGTGATCCAACCCAAATAAAGTTCGATGAAATTTAGTTATATTGACTCCTGGAAAAAAAAAGAAAAGAAAAGAAAAGAAAAGAAAAAGAAGTCTTTCTGTTATTTTTTACAATTTCAGTTGGGAATTTTAAAATGTGATCACTTGTAAGTCCAAAAATATGTTGGATTATAGTTACTAATTATTAATACACACTTACAGAGGAATTAGTCCCGTACATGTGCCAATAATTGGAAATCACTCTTAGAAATTGATGAGCTATGTGAGGCTTCTTGCTTTGATGATCTTGTTGTGCTACAGCTTAAATAAATCAAGCTATAGATTTTTAGCCTATCCAGCCGGGCTACTTTCACACCGAGCTTTGGCTGTCCGGTAGTAACGTCTCTTCAATCACAGAGACTGAAACACTTCCCATTCTAATGACACGTGGCATGCTCTGATTGACTGAGGACGGCTGTCACGCCGTCTTCGTACTTCGTGAAATTTGAACAGTCCCGCCTTTTTCCCTTTACCTAAAACGAGCCTCTTCATTTTGACACACTTCGCAACTTTTCCCTCTCTGAGCCTCCATTGCTTCTTCAACCTCTGAGCTCGTGTTCTCCATAGCTGTTATTCTCTCTCCAGCTCTTGCCTCTTCATCGAGTAAGCACTGTACATCTACTTTGTTTTCGTATTGTGTTTTCTGTGTTTTTGCAAAACATATTTTTCTATTTCGCTTTGCTCTGTACTTTTCTGGAAAAAAACTTAACAATAGAACACATGAGTACATGTAATATCCTGTAGAAAACTGGTTTTTGATCCAAAATCATGATGCAATCGAACTAGGACACTGTTTAAGCTAGGTAAAAGTCTAGTCAGTTTACAACCGGACTAACACTTCATGTTTACACCAGTAGTTTTAATAAGTCAAACCACTTCTTGCATTACCTTAGCCGAGGTAACCAACAGAACTAAGTTTACACTTAGCATACTGAGATACCTGAACTCCAACCGATCTAGGCCTTTGGAGCTAAACCAGCTTTCTTAGTTTTTTAGACGGAACTCAGAAAACTGCCCCTAGATGATCAACCGGTCAAACAGAACCATTTCCACAACCGAAATAACGAGACGCTTGCCAAGGCCGAGCTAATAAATGCCCTGCTCAAACCGAGCTACCAATCACCTTCCAGAAACCGAAACCGAACCTGTAGCATCCCACACAGTCGAAGTAGGACTTCTTTTTATCTTGCTTTTAATTTGTAGCACAGCCCAATGATCTGTGCTTAACACCTTTGTTCTTCATTTTGCAGACTTAGGTTGCCCAGGCACTCCTCTGCGCGCTCAACCGAGCTACTGAGCACAATTTTTGGACCGAACTAATTTATTCATAAATTATACAATAAATGGGGAAGTATAGGTTTTTAGTAAATACTCCGGGCGGTCTAGCCGAATTCCGAAAAGATTATAATATACCCGATGACGTCCACCTGATCTTAGCCGAAAAAGATGTCATACCTTAGTGCAATGAAGGCTTTGTCCCCTTCACCCTCTTGTCCATAATTGAAACCGGACTACGATTTCCAGTCCAACCCTTAATTTGTGAGTTTCTTAGGCAAACCAGACTATGCCCAACCCAGCTATCCACCAATTCATACCGTATAATAATGGGAATAGCCGAACTAAATCGCCAAGCCGGTCTCAACCTTGGTCTGGCCGAAATCTTTCACCAATACTCCATTGGTTCGAAGGAAGACGGCTGGGTGTACTATCTTAGAATGCGCCGTCGACGTGAGAAAATAATAAAAAACACACCGGATAAAGACTTGAATGACGACGATTTTTTCTGGGTGTCTGGGAACTTTGAGGATCACCAAGCCCAGATTCCTGGCCGAAGCATCAATTGGAAAAAAGGAACACCTGGTATAATTACTTCGGTTTTCTTGTGTGTTTTACTGTATTTCGGTTTTCAATTTTCAGCCGAGCTAACAGTTGTCTTCTTTTGTAGATTCTGCCCACCTCCATTCTCTATACAGCTACCCAAATCTAGTGACCTTGTGCGCCGCACTACGGTATCCAGAGCGTAGTTAGGCCAAGCCGCTAAAGTTCGAACCGACCTATAGATACAGCGGCCGTCGAAAAGCGAGAGTGACCGATTTTCTGCTAGAGGAGGCCTCAGAACCGGACCCAACCTTGCCAGAAATCAGACTAATCCCACTAACCGCTGAAGAAGAAATGGCCAAAAGAAATAGAGTCAGGGCGCTATTGACCGAAACAAACAGACCCGAAGTACCGCCATCAAGCCAAACGCAACAGGCCGTTGTGGCCCTTCCTTCTCAACAGCCTTCTTCATCACGCCCATCCAAGCGCGCCCGGTCTACCCCAACTGAGCAGCGTCTAGTGGACGAGCACGAAACCACGCCTCCACCGAATCCACAACCGGAACCTTCTGACCGGGCTGGCTCTTCCAGGTGGGCA